AAATAATTGTGCTCACAATGAAATAATATAAGCTCACTCAATTGAGCGTCATCCGGTGAATGGATCAGATGGCCATTTGAGCGTAGAAATGAGACAGCAGTTGAGCGATCGCCAAAAAGTGAAATATACAGAAAAGCTACGAAAAACACCATTCCTGCTGCAAGGCCTGCACCCTGTAAATTGACCGTAATCGATTTAACAGGGACATAAATCAGAAAGGATTCACCTGCAACAAGAGATACGGTATGAAGAAGTGCAGGTCGTTCAGTGAGCAACGCGATGAGAATGGTGCCGGTAATGCCGGCGCCGATAGCGAAACGAATACAAACAGAGGCCATGTCGTACTGAAATATCGTGCTGTGTGTGCACGGTAGGTGTACGGAATAAGGAAACTTGCAGTGAAATCGGTACCCGGTCGAACTGAGTATTTGCAGCAGCTCCTCCGATTACTTGCCACATGTCGAAGAATACAGTAATACTCAAAAGCGCGACGATGATCTGCATTCCGGTCTGAAAGGACGCGAATCACTCGGAGTACGTCACTTCTGCTCAAAAGCCTTGAAACCATTCCTTAACACGTTCCGGACCGCGTGACACACATGGGGTGTCATAAATTTTTTTCTCTGCTCTATTTTACGTAGTCTATTTGGCATCTAATTCATGTTCTAAAATTGTAAGAGCACGCCTTGAGCAGGGAAATCAGATGAAATTGCTGGTTATTGACGTGAAATGTGACAAAATGAGGCCGAGATTTTCGCGGAACGACGGTCGACGTAAGTTAAAGCCACTCCACAATAGTTGTATGAGCGGAGCAGAATCTACTTTTTTATTTAGTCCTCATTCATGCTCCCTTATTTCTGAAATGCTGAGAAGAGCAAGGCGCACCAGTGAGGAATGTTTAACCACGAGCCTGACTCCGCCCAAACTGTTAGCATGGACTATGCGTTAGGGAGTGTTAGAAGCTCTAGATGGGAGGGAGGTATAGTCTTGTCCGCCACGGATGATGGGGCATACCAGAGGGCTGGGTTTGGCTTTGGCGCGGGGCCAATTCGTACTCCACTAAATGTTGAAGTAAGCAAGCGACAACAATTGGTGGAAAAGTGTTTTACGCCGCGCCCAGCCCAGCCTTGACAAGCTCCAGTACCCGCAGCGAGCAAGACTGTTACTATTAGCAAGGAATCAATAAGTAAACAAAACACGTAAATAAATAAATCGATGATCTGCATTCGTCTGAAAAGGCGTATGTGGACGAGAACCACCGAAGTCCTAATTACCTACCATGGCATGAATGTGTCCACAACAGCATTTATACCGTCGATGATCGCCATCAAATCCATTTGTTGTAGTGCCGTAGGTGCGATATGGATTCACGTCCTCGTCTTCAAAAGTCTCGTCTCCTGTATCGCCTGTGCTTTCGCTTTTCACCTCATCTTGAGGCATTTCGCTGTACTACTACTTTTCTGAAAATTGTACATAATCACAAGAATGCCAACATGTGGGCAAAAGCCGGACTCGAGACGGACTCGAACCCGCATTTCCCGCTTACCGGGTGTAGCGCCACCCACTCTGCACCACTTGTTGAAGCAGGTAAGCGAGAATTAGTGGTGGAGAACGAAGACGGTATGAGACAGTCCTATCGCTTACCAGAAGAAAAAAGGAAAACCGGGCTGGCTCTGCGCTACAACTCCTCCCCTTTGGTCCGCCCAGCCACCCGCAGCGAATAAGACTGATCGTGAAGATTCGATGATGAAAACTAACAACAGGTTGCGATTTATGAGACGAGGTTTACACCATTGAATATAAAAAAGCGGATTTAGTGTAGAATGATGAAGAGTCGATCTCTGTAACTCCTCATTCTCTCTCCCTTCCACACTCCCCACCAAAAAAAAACTATCAAGAATTCAATCATTATCATCAT